ACTGAGACGCAAACGGTACCACAGAGAATCGGTGACCCTCGCCTCCGGATCATGCAGAGCTTCGCATTGTAAGTCGTTACGCTAGTATACGATAGCACCACCTCTCCTAATGGAACGATCGTGTCGGAACTGGGACATTTCCTGAATCGTGAGCTCCGCACTCGTAATCCCTGAGTGCAAACAAATCTCGGTAATGAAGATGATATCCCAAGCGCTTGTTGCCTGGCACAACCGTAGCTCGACGAGTTTGCTGAGGAGGCCTTGGGCTTTCCTGTACATGCAGGAAATTGTTTTGGTCCTCCACAACGATCTAATGCACTTGTGGCTAGGATGATAGATTGTACCGACCGTTGTATGGTCGGCCGCTAGCCGTGGTGATGATACCCAAATCTCTTTCAGCTGATGAGACCAGGAGAACAGACTCACCTAGGAAGTATTTTGGAGAAGCAAAAGGGCGAGTGGAGAGGACGCGACATTTCGAAGTTGAAGGAGAGGTTGTTTTCCAGTGACCACTGGTACAGACGGTTGAGGTGGCACTGAAGTGCGCCGGTATCATCTAGAGCATTGACGGTACGCCACAGCTTCGCGTCGTCGACGGAGAGCAGCATCAAGGACTCGACTTGTGTTGTGATACCATGGATGCAGGAAGGAAAAATTCCGACCCAAGAACAGATCTCTGTGGAACTCCGTTTGTTACAGGGATACGGGAAGAGAGCGCTCCGTCGACAGTACAGTGGTAGAGATAGTTCCGGATCTAGAACATCAAGGCCCCAGAGGTATCATAGAACGACAGCTTATGCATTTGGATGGTATGGTCGACTTTGTTGAAACCCTTGGAGAAATCGAAGAAGAAGACTTGAGTTTCCAGGTCGGTGTCAGCTACAGTCGTCCAGCTATCCCGCGTGAGTAGCAGGTTACTCTGACATGACTGTGGCCGTCGGAAGCCGTGATAGCAGACGGAAAGCAGTTTCTGAGACTCAAGGTGGTCCATTAAAGCATCCGTGATGACCGATTCCATCACTTTGGAAATCGTAGAGAAGAGTGTCATTGGTCGGTAGTTGACGGGGTTCTTATGGCTATCGCCTTTGTAGATTGGCGCAATTGTACCGCATTTCCAATCGCTGGGGACTTCAGTCTGCGAGAAGAAATTGGGGAACAACTTCGCTAGAGGTAAAGCTAGAGCTACAGCGCATGTGCACAGGAGCCTTGGACGGAAACCGCCTGCGCCTGGGGGGAGGGGCCGTTACCCGCAGAGATTTAAGCTTCGCCAGGACCTTCTCCGGATTAAACTGAACAGTGTTCAGGGACGTTGGAGCTGAGAACGGAGAATGTTGCGTCATTGTGCGGAGTGATGGAACGTGAAAAGCAGATGTGTAATGTTGATACAGGAATTCTGCGGTCTCATTCGCTGATTTTGTGAACCCTGTGGGTGTCTTCAGCGCAGTGACACCGTGTTTGACTTGCCGAAGGCGGTTAACGAGGCTTTACAAGAGTTTGGGGTTGGCTGAAAATCCACACACTAGCTGACGCTCCTACTCACTTTGATCTTCGCGCATAAGCTGGACGCACTGGTTACGGAGAAGTCGGTAGAGTTCCAAGTGAGTAACGGTTAGACAGGAACGATATGTTATCCATGTGTTACGGGCCCGTCAAATATCCCTGCAAAAACGCGCCACAAACCCCGGCGTAATGGCTGTGGAAAGCGGAGTTCAATTCCTCCCCCCAATCCGAGACGCGGCACAACTGTGCACATGTTGATAATGTTCATTTACAAACTACCACCCTGTTGCGGTAGCTATTTTCAC